TCCTGGAATGTTCTGGAAAAACAAAGTGATTGTAGAACAGACGTAATGACTATGGGGAAGAGGATAAGATGCCTGGGATGATGTGTGTTTGGATCGGGAAGATGGATACAGATATTGCCAAATTCAAGGATGTGTCACGTCCAACGGGAAGTTTTTCTCTAGCAAACAATTCAAGCCATAGACCAGTGTGTCACCACTGAGTTTGGACTGCAGGGACCACTCCGGAGTGTCGTAGGAGGCTGAGAGTTGCTCTTTTTCCAGAGGGTTTCACAAGGACTCCTCGGGGACATGTTTCCATTCAGTCCTACTTTTCTGCTACGATTTATGTCTCTCAGCATCCATTTCATACAAAAGATAGAAACTAATATATGGGGCCAGGTGCGGTGACTTGTGCCTGTAATCCCAGCACTTGGAGAAGTCGAGATGATAGGATCACTTGAGCCCGAGAGGTTGAGACCAGCCTGGGCAACATAGCGAGAACTCATCTCTACCAAAAAAGATTTGAAAATTAGCTGGGCATGGTGGCGTGCACCTGTAGTCTCAGCTTTTCAGAAGGCTGAGGCAGGAGGATCACTTGAGCCCAGGGGTTCGAAGCTGCAGTGAGCTATGGTTGCACCACTGCTGTCCAGCCTAGATGAAAGAGTGAGACCCTGACTCAAAAACAACACCACCACCAAAAAAACCCCCCAAAAAACCCTAGTATATGGGTACCCAATGCTAAACGTAAGTTCTCGTTTGTTTCATCCAACCCTAGAGCTACCCTGTGAAATTTTGTCACTCCTGTTTTATAGAAGTGGAAACTCCAAGACTCAATAATTTGTCCCAAAGTACATAGCTAGGAAGAACTGGAACCAGGGCGAGCAGAAGTCAGTGTGACACCGAAATCCGTTCCTTTTCCTCTCCTTCAAGCAATAAATTCCAGTTCACCTGAGAAGCCATCTGATCTGACTCTGTGATAATCTACTGCTGAGGCTGGGTGCAAGTCCAACACCTTTCCTCCCCACCTTAAGGGTCACGACCGACACTCCCACAACAACACACAGGTTAACAAGAGAAAAGCGTTCATGGATGTATTTAATCGAAGTCCTCCATGACATGGGAGCCCTCAGAAATGAAGCCCCATGGACTTAGGTCCTGCAAAGAATGGACTGCCTGTAGAAATGTGATTGGGCAGAAAGGGAATGAGCCTGTGGTAGTAGACTGTCAGGCCTGTCTGTTCGGATTCTTCTTGCTCTGTGTAGCATTCCTTCTTCTGGGGTGTAGGGCAGGACCCTTCTGGAATGAGGGGGGTCTTATGACCCACTATCTTACAACCAGCTCCAACACAGAAAGGTGGGGGAAGATTATGGTAATATTTCTAGTTCCTATGACTGCCCCCCTCCAGGGTAAAGGAATTCTAGTTTCTCCTTTCTCTTCCTTCCTTCCTTCCTCCCTTCCTTCCTTCCTTCCTTCCTTCCTTCCTTCCTTCTTTCTTTCTTTCAGAATCAGGGTCTTGCTACCCATTGAAAGAGGACTAGATTTTAAAAGTGTAGTACATATACACAATGGAATATTACGCAGTCATAAAGAAGGACAAAATTATGAACTTTGGAGCAACTTGAATGGACTTAGAATCTATAATACTGAGTAATCAGCCGGGCTCGGTGGCTCAGCCCGTGCCTTTGGGAAGCTGAGGTGAGTGGATTGCCTGAGTCCGCGGGTTCGCGACCCGCCTGGGCAGACGAGACCTCATCTCTACAATAAATCAAAAAAATTAGCCGGGCGTGGTAG